ATCATTCATTTGAGTGAATAGGAATGCACACTTTGCCTTAACTTTCTTGAGTTGTGACCAATGTGGATCACAAATCTATTGAAGGAGTATATAATGATTATGATTCACATAGTGTAATGCTTTGTAATTTTTCGTATTCAGTTGTGCAATGCAGAAAAGACAATTTTATATGTTTCCATCAGTTTGTGCGAATTGCGGATCAATCTGGTCGTACATGGTTCTTACTATCGTATTATTTACTGCTTGAAACTTTGTATGCAATCTAACTCTAATCAGTATGATTTAGGACATGAAATCCTTGCGGACTAATAACGTATGTTTGGGCACTGGAAAGCATTCAGTGGAGTAGATACATCTTTAATAGTTTAATATAGAGTGAAGGGTCAGTTTGGTCCTCGAAGTTGCAAAAAAGGCGTCAAATAAGTCCTTATATAGAAGATTCTGTCCGGACGTGCCATTTGAGCTGGCTCCCAGTGGAATTTTGTGATAATATTGTTTGAGCATCTTATTCATTAAGTCTAGTTTACTCATACCAAATTTCAGCTAAAAATTCAATCGGGAAGACATTCAAATGAATTCTTGAAGATAATAGCGCTTTTAACGGCACAGTTATCTTCAAGAATTCATTTGAATGTCTTCCGAATTGAATTTTTATCTGAAATTTGGTATGAGTAAACTAGACTTAATGAATATGATGCTCAAAAAATTTCATCAAAAAATTCCATCGGGAGCCACCTCAAATGGCACGTCCGGACAGAATCTTCTATATAAGGACTTATTTGACCCCTTTTTTTGCAACTTCGAGTACCAAACTGACCCTTATCCCGTTTAATATAAGACCATTTGTAGTGGTTGGGAGTCCAAATTGTTAAATTTGGACTCCATTCATATGAAAAAAGTGGTTTGACTCCGTCAATACTGTTTTTCCCTGCATCCGTGCACCGTCAATAAAATACATTCAACATATTTTTTTACATATCAATTTAGTAAAACATTAATTAATTTATTATAAGTAATGTTTTCCGTTTAATATTTCCCCTAAATAATTGTGAAATAAAAATACACATTTTAATATAAAAATAAATAAATTTCATTAATTTTTTTTAATGTTTTCGGTCAACAAAAATGAACTTAGTTCAAGTAAAGTTCGATTATGAAATATTCAGTTATTTGTGAAGATTCCATGAATTAAAAATTTGTGTTTCATCGTTTTGTAAACGGAAGAAAACTTCAACAGTTAACACTTAAGAATTTTTGTTTCATTTTATATATTACATATTGGTGTCATATGAAAGATCATAAAATTTTATGAATTTTGATATATATACTTTGAAAAATTTGGAGAACAAATAAAAAAGTTACAAGAGTTTAAAACAATTTGGGGTTATAATAATGTCACCATGATGTCAGCGAAAACATGGTTTGGCCCGTACGAATCCATCCCATCCCCTTTTTTTTTTTCTTTTTTATTTATTTTTGGCTGTCAACCCCTCCCTCTATATTTACACTCTTCCACTTCCCTTTCCACTTTTACTCCCCCTTTTAATCCGGACTACACACAAATAAGAGTCTAAAATCTCCATTTTCAATCTTTTGACTCCTAATCTCAAACCACTACAAATGGTCTAACTAGTGTTGAGTTACTTGGTTAGTGTATAAACACAAAAAAGGAATGGCATCCGCTTGTTGATGGTAGTTGTAAGTTGTAACACCTGACTCCTCACGGATTAGGAGTGGTAACTCGTGACAGCTCTCTTGGCTTGGTACTGTCACCACAAACAAGCACATGTATATGCATGATGCATCTGCAGTTATTACAGACACATACTATTACCACGATGATCCTCCAAACCAGCCATTATTAGGATCCATTATTATGCAATTTGAGGTTGAAAGAGCATATATGATAAGGTCAATTTGGGCATCTTCTTAAACAGCGATACCAAAGGAGTGTAGTCAATAGGAGTGTGTACACTAGTCAAAATTTTACAATGGGTACAACAATACTGTCAAGTGTCAATACCTAAGGAGTGTAGTCAATAGGTGTGTACACTAGTAGTCAAAATTTTAGAATGGGTACAACAATCTCACCCCATTTTGTTAAACTACAAGCTATTTATTCCATGTAACGGTGTAACCGGTATAAGCAATAGTGCAAACTGCAAAGTGCAAACGAGTGCTGCAAAGAATAAAGTGAGCCAAATTCAGAACAATTTAGACAGACATGTGTGATACTTTGGGATAGGTGAGAACCAATGGTGTTGTTTTTTCAATGAAACCAAACCTATGTATGATTGGGTATATGATATGTCTCGTCTGTCTCGTGCGCACTCAAAGCGCTTTGAGCAAAGTGCTTCAATTTTATTGTCTAATTTCTAGGGAAATAGTTAAACGATATCAGGGATTCCATAAGTCCTATCACATAACAATATAGCCTTTCTAATTGGATGGTGCTTCTATTTGCCCTATGATAATGAGTTCAGCTCAATCATTTTCATCCAAAACTATTTTGTTGGTTTCTCTTTTCTTTGAATCTTTGAGTTATTAGATATTGTATATAACTTCTATTTCTCGCTCTTAGTGGTATAGTGATGTTGTGCATAACACGGACACTATTAGTTCCTCTTTATTATATGGTCCCTCAATGGCCTCAAGTTGTTTCAAGCTTGAACGAAAGTTATTGGGATTTACATTCATTTCACCAAGACACTGATTTTAAAGCAATTTGAGCTTCTACAATGGAAGATGATTTTTTTTGTCATCTGATCTCAACTTTACTTGAAGACTTGAAGTACTGTCTGGTAATAGTGAGTCGCCACTAACATGTAAGAATACCTAGTTGTACAGTTCAATCTTTATTTATTTATTAGCTAGCACTCTTCCTAAATAGTTGTTTCACCTCCATTAAATAGTTAGATATAAATGTATAATATGTACGTAGTACATGATTGGCAGCTCCTTCTATAAGGTTATGAGGCTTGTGCAGTTGTGCCTAAGCCCATAATTTTGGAAAAGTTGGATACAAAAAAGTTGTGTTTCATTAAACATTTATTTTTTAAAATTAGCTCTACTGTTAAAAATGAACTTTTATTTTCAGCTAAAATCCTCGTAAAGTCCAGCAAATATCTAATTACTCTAAACAACTTTTACACAAAATTTTCAAGAGTAGACCATGTTGGAATTTATTGAGAAATATAGCTCAAGTGTTCAACATGTTTGATCCTTAAGTATTATTTTTAATTAAATAATGAGAATCAATATATATATATAAAGGAGGAACTTTTTAAGAGCATACAACGCGCCACATAAGCCTGCCATGTCATCATATATGACCATTATTTAATTATTTTTATACCTTTTATTTTATTATTACATTCTATTTTTATTACACATTGATATAGAAATCCACCTTATTTGGTAACTTTTAATATATTTTAGATTTCGAATTTCAGGATTAAGGATATTAAGGAATATATGTTCGGATGTTCCTTATTATATATACATCCTTATTTTTAAATCGGAGGATATCTCTAAGTTGGAATCCCTTCCCCTAGAATCCTAGATGCTTGATTTTTTTTAATTATTAAATTAGAATTGTCCAATTGAGAAAATAGTTGAAATTTTAAAAACTACACTTTTAGACATTTTTAATGTGAGGAAATTATGAGTAAAATGCAACATCTTACTATTAAAATTTAAAAGTAATTATGCATACCATTCAGTCAGAACCTAATCAGTTTCAATAGAGTCAGTTGATTCAATCCATTTTAGTGTTATCAAACGGGCTCTATATTAAATTGAGAGTTTTTTTTCTATTAAGTCATGTCTAGATTAACACGTATGTCTGGGCTAAGATGTCTGATTTAGTGATATTTGTATTTGAGGTGATTTATTTTGTATGCCGAATAAACAGTCTGAATCATGTAAAATAAAGAATTTAGTATTATTCTTAATGTATAGTGTCAATGAAAAACTCCATTTATTAATATGATGAGTCTATTCTACAATCAAATTGAAAAAATTTAGAGAAAAACGTCTCAATAGTCAGCCTTAATGAGAAGGACGACTATTTTAGAGCTTAATGATTAATTTAGTTTTTTGACTGAATGATTAAGTCATGCTTCCAATTAAGTCATAAGTAAAAATTACTTAATGATTGAATTATTAAGTCAAATGTGATTAAGTCTATTTAGTCGAAATTAAACAGCCCTTGAGTTTATTTTGCTCTTACATCACATTATATATAATTACGGAAAAAATGACATTTAAAATTAGCTAAGTTACGTACTGCCCGTGCATCGCACGGGCTTGAAAACTAGTTTTAAATATTATTATTAGTAGTATAAGATTATGGGAGAATTTTATATTGCACTTGCATTCTATATTTCTATTCCCATAATTTAAATCCTCGTAAGCTGAACCATATCAACGCCTTGGAGCCGGCCGTCACTTTCTTTTCTTTTCTTTTTCATTTTTTTTACCCTGTCAACCCAACCCTCTATATTTACACTCCTCCACTCCCCTTCCCACTTTCACTCCCCTCTTTAATCCACCACTACACCTAATTAAGAGTCTAAAAGTTCCACTTTTAATTTTTTGACTCCTAATCTTTAACCACTACAAATGGTCTAACTTTCATTATTTAAATATCTCAAAATGAAATTTATATATGTGCATAAGTAAATGTGTTCTTGGAAATCAAAACAAAATTTTACCTTACACAACTAAATGTGCATGTCAAAGTTGGAGGAAATATTACTGAAATGAAACTTATTTATAAAAATATGACTAATAATTACTATAATATAGTCTCATAGTCATTTAAGTGTAAATATTGAACATTAATTACTAATTTGATCACTACACAACTACACTCATAGGTAGTATGTAATTATTTCATGATATTACTACTACTAGTATTAAATCAGTACATACATGCATGCAGAGACCTCAAGGGTCTTATTAGATAGAGGAATCTGTAAGGAAAGGCTATGGGGTTTGGGGTACTTGGTCAATTTCTTGATATATGAAACGTATTTACAAACCAATAAAAGTTTATTGAAATGATGAAGATATATTATTACTCATTATGTTACTCTTTGTATTGTATAAAGACCTTACCCTTCAAAGTTAAAAACCTACGTCCTAAAAGACCTTACGTCCCCAATGCATTAATGCTCACCTAATGCCTCTCACTTCTGCACATATTTAACAAAAGGCAACATACCCCATAACAAGTTATAATGTACATAAAAATCTTTGGCCACAAATCTTTATCCTACCAAAGTCCATAATCTTTGGCAAAGAGGGATCACATGCAGCAAAATCTAGCTATCATATGTAAACAGGCTTCACGTCAGTAGCCGCAAAGCTTGCACCACAAAATGGGCATTTACGATGACGTGATTCAATAACTTTTAGGATGCAAGGATTGCAGAACAGATGGTAGCATTTTGTGATGACAACCTGAAACCAAATTAGGGGTTAGATTATAGAAAGGCTACATATGCAGATGGATGAAATAAAAAATATCATCAATGTCTCATTCAATTCTTGTATACTAGGAAGAACCGACCTCCTTTCTCCTGTCATGACACACACCACAGTTGAGTATTTCTTTGTACTCCGTTAGTGTCTGCCGATGCTTTTCGATTTCAGATGACTCCTCAATTTGTGACCTTAGACGTGTTGTCTTTCTCCTTAGAGCTTCTACATCCTCTTCTGCCCTTTTTCTTTCAAACCTGGTTATTACAGAATTGTGAACAGAAAGGAAAGAAAAGCCAGGTCTGATTGACTTTACACTTGGTATCAGATTCAGCTTTGATCACCCATGCCAGCCCAGACCTGAATGGGGTTTCACAAAGAGTGCATCTCACTCTAAGTTACTCTTGCCTTCTATCTAACATTCAAATTTTGACCACAAAGCCTCCTTGGGTTTGCTCTTTTGTTAAGATAAAAAATGTATCTAAACCTCCAACTGATTAAGCTCTAACATGTGATTAAAAGTGAATAATGAGAGCTTAATATGACTCTTTTGTTTACTAAGTTTGGGCAGTGATGCTTAGCACTTCTTGCTAGATATCTCTTGTATAAGTCTCTTGATTTTAGCTCATATATTTTCTTCCGGACACTTTTGATAAGATCACACATTGGAAATTTAAAGAGAATGATTGGTAAACAAGAATATAGGCTGAACTAGCTAACAGATTGGTCGATTCTTTACTGTGGGGTTTGGTGACTTGGTCCAAGAACCTTATGGCCCAATTTAGTAACCCCAACCTAATCCTGAACCCTGTTGTTCTGTTGGGTTGTCATTACCGCGAGTCTGCGAACTATATAGTAAACCACAAAGGGATGTGAAGAAACTAATAAAATCTCGAATTACCTTTCTTTCTCTAGATCTATCTGCAGATCAGATAGATGCACTCGACTTTTATCAACCTTGGTCTGTAGTTCTTCAAGCGCCTCTCGTTGCTGCTGGGATGCTTTTTTCACATCTAATAATCTCTTATTGGTGCTTTCCAGAGTAGCTCTAGTTTGAACTCTATCCTCTCCAAGTCTCTGGACTTGGTCTGAGCATGCTCTTAACTGTAATTCAAATGTAGAACTATTTATAAAACTCATCATCACTTTAATCCCAACTTCCCAACCATGTTCCATTAATCGGGTTAACCACCTGGTGCCCCGACTTTGCCTGTCGGTAATTAAAAACAGATGGCCAATTAAGCGCGGTTATCAGTGGGATGACTACATCATCGTTTTTCTGGCAGAGATGATGATGGCAACTAAAACCTTCTAAAACTAAATAAACTCATAATTCCTGAATTCTAAAGAGAGAATATAAAGAAACTTAATCTACCATGCATAGGAGCATAGGACAGGTGAGAATACAAAATAACTATTCTCCCATAGTCACAGCCGCCAGACAGATTAAGGCATATTTAGACCCCAATGATACATTTTTATTTTTTGAAATAACAAAAGGAGTATGCATGCATTCGAAGAAAAGAATTACGAGTATAAAGATCTGCTACCCAACTGCAAGTTTGACATGCATAAGGAAAAAATAAAAATGCAAAAACCTACTGCCCCATAGACCCACTGCAAAACGACGTTCCATATTTTCATGGGAAGAAAATAATGTTTTTAGTCACCCCACTGCCACATAAAACAGAAAAAAACTGCAGAAGAAACTGGCCAACTTTCATTTTACAATGGCACCAACTTTCGGGGTGAGAGGCAGCCAGCTGTTGCAAGCAGTTGATTTGCAGAGGCAACAGAGAGGAAAATGGTAAACGTCAAACAAATAAAAATGCAGTTTTAACTATTATAGCAACTTGACTTATGTTGACTGCCCAAAATCGAGGGTTAGCACGGAAACTCTCCATTGGTGCTCGCCTGCACTTTGTGCTTAAAAGAGGTTGTGTTCTACAATTGAGCTAACATGGTAAAATATCACAAGGTCATGATGAGTTGAGATATATACCTGGTCATCGATTTTGGCAGTTTTCAGCTCATAGAAGCTGCAAGTTGCTTTGGTTTCTTGAATTGCTTTCTCCAGTGACTGATTTTCCAACGTTGAAGAACTCTGCTGCTGTCTTGCCTTAATTCCCTCCATAACAAGCTACATAGAGAGAGGAGAAACTACATTACGGTACTAGAATTTATATCACCAACTAGCTTGGGAGATATAATGTGAATTAATATGTACATATTCACACAATGCAAAACTATCATCTATCTACATAAGCATTATGCATGATGTACCTACGGCATACACGTAGTCGATGATTAATGAAATCCATTGATCTAAAAAAGAGTAGATTGTAATTGTACAGAGTAAATCATAAACCATCTATAATACATTTATCAGTATCTACTTCAGTTGCTCAACCTGAAGGATGATAAAAGCTTGAATCATTATATAAAGAGGGAACACCAGATGATACGGGGCCAAATTACCAGATTGGTAAAAAACAGGGTGTTTTACCAAGTTGGTAAAAAAACTCCTGAGACAAATTGGCAAAAAAGAAGAAGCCGAAGTGACAAATTGGTCATTTTTTGTGAGCCAGACATTTTTTGCCCTCGACTTTAGAATTCCTGATATTTATTTTCTAAGTATTGTCAAATTGACATTTTAGTCCTTCAACTTTGATTTTGTCATGAAAAGTACGGGACTAAAAAATCTACTGCATTTACAAAATCTACTCAAAAGTTCTATTCCATATGAAAATTATATTATATATGGAATATTTTTTGCTATTTTATATGCAGTAGAATTTAAAAAAAAACTTATAGATTAGTCATATTTAAAATACTAATACTAAAAATAAATAAATTTATATGTGCGTGCTCGACTAACCAATTTCATACATGTGTGCTCGCGTTAATGTACATATGTTAAAAATGATAGTGGTCGTAGTTATTTAAAATAAACGTAAATATAATTTTTATAACATTTTTCAAGACTTATTAAAAATAAAAAATAAAGGTAAGTTATAAACTATTATACTTGTAAGTTCATATTTTTAATGGTCATTTTACGTCTTAACAGTTAATTGCAAACAGTTAAGTTACTAACATTTTGTTTCAAACCGATAATGAAAGTGGTTGGTTAAAAAGTTAACAAAATGTGCTAGTATTAATTTGCTGATTCGATAGACTTTTTTAGCTAGCAAACAAATGCTATTATGAAATATTGGGAATTCTAAAGTCGAGGACCGCAGTAGTATTTATTTTAAATATGACTATTTATTTTTAGTTTTAATATTTTAAATATGACTATTCTATAAGTTTTTTTTTTTAAATTCTACTGCATATAAAATAGCAAAAATATTCCATATGGAGTAGAGTTTTTTAGTAGATTTTTTAATGCAGTAGATTTTTTAGTCCTGTACTTTTCATGATAAAGTCAAAGTTGAAGGACTGAAAATGTCAATTACACAATACTTAGAATATGAAATATCGGGAATTCTAAAGTCGAGAACAAAAAATGTCTCACTCACAAAAAATTGATCAACCTGACACTTGGGCTTCTTTTTTACCAATTTATCTCAGGATGTTCTTTTTTACCAATTTGGTAAAACCGTAAAACACCCTGTTTTTTTTAACCTGGTAATTTGGCCGATGATACTGTTACCTTAATGTTATAGTCATCCCTCTCAGTTATCTGCTGCAAAAGTTGTTGATTTTGAGTTTGCATATCATCATAGGCTTGCCCAATAGTCTGATCCACAATAAGTTTTGGTTTACTTCACAACAACAATAAATATAACTACAAAAATAGCCTTGTTATATAGTTAAGAAAATTGGAAAAAAACAAAATTAGAAAAGTGAAACCTCAATTTCAGACAGGTAGGCCTCAGTCTCCTCATGTTTTGATCTCAAGGCTTCTGAAATTCTGGATTTCTCCCTGAAGCAAAAAATAAAAACAGAGGGTAAACTTTATGAACAGCTTCTACCAACAGGATATAAATTGCATGTTCTAAGCCAATCTTCAAAGTGCTTTAGTGGCTGATATAAGGATCAACTAAATACTTCCTACTGCATGTTTGTTCATAGCCATGCATTTATAAACAAAGCAACAAAACAACAACAACATCATCCAAGCCTTAATCCCAAAACAGTTTGTTTCATTATAAATTTGTAATAAACTTAACAATATAAATTCATTAATCTCTTTACACAGCAATTTGTTAACAAAACCAGGGTTCCATCAATGAATCGGAGAGAAGAATGCATCATCTACACAGTTTTCACGCATTGAGAATCATTAACAAGATCATGCTTGTTCACTATGGCCAAACCATGCTAGATTGGATTTTAAAGTTGCAAATGAAGGCCTAGTCATGATTAAATGCAAAGAAAGCTTCTTCAATTTCTGGTAAATTTCTATTTACACTAGTTTCTGGAAATTTGAGAAGGATATTAAAAATTTGTCTACTAAAAGAGAACACACCCTTCACAATAAGGAAAGAAAAGAGCCCCCAAAACAAAAGCAGTAGCCAACTGAATAAGATGGCATTTGTTTAAGTAACAATAAAGCTGAAATGCTGAATGAAGCTTGAATGGTATCAATTATCTAATTTTCAACATTACCTGACAATCATCAATTTGAGCAAGTTTGAGACTACCTTTTAGAAGCCTCCAACTTCTGTCTGAGCTCAGCAATCTCAGCTTCAGTGGCAGCTAGCTTTTGTTGAGATTCAGCCTCAGCTTCAATTGCAGTTTTTACTCGAGATTCCAAATTGTGCTCATCAAGAGAAGTTTTCAATCTCTGAACAGAAGCCCAAGCCTTGTACTCAGAGTCCCTAGCTTCAAGAACGTCCCTGCATTCCCACATCAACATTCTTGACTCTGGTTCTTTACTTTTGTTATGCATAAACAAATGCTTTCATTTATGTATATTTATATGATATATGTGCAATGCCTTAATTATATTTAGTCATGTAGATAATGTTAGATAAAGCTTGACTTGGTGAGGTATATGATTTTAGGAAATTGAATGAAACATATAAAGGGCTTGAATGGATGATTTAGATTTACTAAAAACTTTTTATGAATACAACCTAGCAACAGGTTTTAACATATAGTATGAACTTTTGACTTAGATTGCTATTCTGAATCACAGAATCAGTTCACATGAATGATGAGTATTTAGAGGAACAGCTTTTCTTATGCACCTAGAGAAGTAGAGATTCAATCTACTGCAATCAAGTGTTGCAATCACTTACTTAAATAGATCACACATGAAGATAACTTCCATGATGACATTACATGTATGTGCATATAGCTGATAATATCCATTACAGAATTCTTTATTGCAATTTACAATCTGTCATTCGGTTATAACTTCCAGAGTAGTACCTAATTCTTCAATGGAAGAAGTGAAAGAATAATCTCATATGATGTCCATAAATAACTCCCAAGTAATGAACGTGCAACTCGTCTGGGTTTACCCAACCTGATTTAAGTCAACTAAATTACGTCTAGACTTTTAGTCTGACGGATTTTAGTGCAACTCATTTCAAAATGCCGTCTTTAATCAGCCTATTTTTAGTCTATCGTCTATCTATTAAAGTCAGTTACTGCCATAGTGTAACATAAACATATGCACAAATGATTGTTTACTCTATAAATAGAACAATCCCCCAATAGCGGAAAGTAATGAAACCCATAGCTTTCAAGAGATTCTCAAAACTTATGTGTAGAAAAAAAGCATCTGAAAGAGGGTCCTTATGTTCGCACTGAAGTGGCAACCTCTTGTACGACAAGACTTGCTGATCCCCCATCAGATGTAGTGAAAACTACCATGTTAATAGTTGTCTAGTTGATACTGTAAATCATTTTATCATGACTCAAGAGTTGATGGACTATTTGTTTTAGTTAGCAACCCTAGTTCACTACACAGAATCTCTAAGACTCTGGTACCACGTTAAAATAGAATATTGTATTGCTTGATTAAGTGCAAATATTATGCACTACTTATATGCCAAAATCGACATGTAGTCCTTCCCCATTATGAATCTAGGGTTTCCTGGAGTAACAATCAAATATTATGAATTCTACACTCTAATGCTTCTCAAATTAGCATGCTCAGAAAGATATGATATCTTTTATAACATTTGTTGAGCAGTAATATATAGCATCCCAACTCCCACGATCTTTGTTTTTCTTCGCCTATTGGTATTCTAATCTACTCCAGTCTAGCCCTAGAAAATGCAGTACAGTAAATGAAATACTAAAATATATGTAGTAAACTTTTACAGTGTATAGAGAGTAACACCTGGAAAAGGGGGATTCAAGCCTGAACATTTCTAGAAAAAGATTCAATTCCATATCACTCTTCTTCAAATCTTGAACCTATTCCAATCAATTCAGAGCTCAATGCTTCATGCAAGTGAATTAAATAAATTCATTAATTAATTAATATATAAATAAATAAATAAATAAATAAATAAATAAATAAATAAACTTCACTGCCAAGTCTACATGTTAGTTCAACCAAAAGAAAGAAAGAGGGTGGTTGATTTTAAATAGATGATTTTAGACTATATGCTTTTATTATGTGAGCTTGTTGAATTACATGATAAGACGTTTATTTGTTATATTTAAGGTATTCTGTTACCTGGCATAGTCAAGACAGACAAATTATTTTATTTTAAGATTTTAGAAATGTCTTGAATTAAACGTCATCATAAAAAGAATTAATATTTAAAGCGAAAGATAAGGTGATATGTACTGGGTCGCTCCAATATGTTTAGTGAGTCGCTCCCATGAGCTGTCGGAATGGCATCATTGAGTACATATCTGATATGAAGCAGAATCTGGGCTTGGAAGAAGAGGGGCAGAAGCCCCCGTGGGTTTACCGAAGGCTGGACGGGCTTGAGCCCACCTTCGTGGGCTATTTGCGGGCTGTTTAATTAATATTTATTATTCCTTTTATTTTGTTTCCTAATTTAATTTGTTTCCTAGTAGGATTTATTTAGGACTTCTATTCTTATTAGAATTAGAGGTTTCCTATTTCTATTTAGTTTCCTAGAATGATTTAATTAGGAGTTCTATTAGAACTAGAGGTTTCCTATTCTATTTAGTTTCCTAGATTAATTTATTTAGGATTCCTATTCTTATTAGACCTAGAGGGTTATTTATACCCCTTGTATGCTTCATTCTTGAGGATTGGGGGAATAAAAGTTGGTTTAGCCTTTTGGCTTTGGGCAACGGTATTTATTTATGGTTGATTATCGGGCAACGGTTCACCCCGTTGATTTTTATTTTTCTGTTCTTATCAATTGGTCCGACCTGCCGGATCCCGTCCCGCCAGAATGACGAGATCTATCGGTGAACGTTTGTCAGAGATGCTGGCCAAGCAAACTCAAACCCTAAAGGAGCACAACATGCGTCTGGCAGAGATCGCCGCATCCCTGGCAGCGCTTACCAAGGCGCTCGTTCCATCAGTCACGACGTATTAGAAAAGTAAGAAGGATTTAGGAAGAAATGAACCAATCTTATTATTCATGAACCAATTACAAGTATTTATAGTACTAGAGCTTAACAGATATCTAACTAACTGTATTAGCACTAACAGATACTAACAAACTCAATACAAAGAGAAGTATTACAGTTCGTGTACTATTCCTAACATTCCCCCCTCAAAATTAGGGTGATTGCTTTGGAAAGTCAATCACACTAAGTTTTGTTTTGAAATCAAGAAACATTGAGGCTGGTAATGGCTTTGTCAGAACATCAGCAAGTTGTTGAGAGGCTGGAATATGGAAGACTTCAATCTGCTTAGACTGAACCTTTTCCCTGACAAAGAAGAGATCAATCTCCATGTGTTTGATCCGCGTGTGTAGAACAGGATTGTGTGCTAGCTGTACAGTGCTGAGATTATCACAATACACTTTTGGAGTAGTGAATGGTATTTTGAGTTCCTTGAGCAAGTATTGAATCCATAGGAGTTCAGATGAAGTGTCTGCTAAGCTTCTATATTCAGCTTCTGCTGAGGATCTAGCAACTTTTACTTGTTTCTTTGACCACCAAGAGATGATATTTGAACCAAGGAATATACAAGAACCTGATGTGGATTTTCTGTCAACAGGATCTGAAGCCCAATCAGCATCACAGAATGCTGAAATAGGCATAGACATGGTTTTCAAAGGAAGAGGTTTGATAATGAGACCATGTGTGATAGTACCAGACAGATATCTAAGTATATGCTTGACAGCTTTCCAGTGATCCTGCAGAGGATTGGCCATAAATTGACACACTTTGTTCACAGCATAACTAAGTTCTGGTCTGGTAAGGGTAGCATATTGTAAAGTACCAACTATAGATCTGTATGTAGATGGATCAGGTAAGATATCACTTCCTGTATTGGTGAGTTTACAGCTACTCACCATGGGTGTTTTGACTCCCTTTGAGTCAAGCATGCCAACCTTGTGAAGTAAATCCCTGATATATTTGGTTTGAGATAGGTGAATGCTACCATTTTTTGTCTTTTTGACTTCAATGCCAAGAAAGAAGTCAATTTCTCCTAGATGCTTGAGTGAGAAAGATGTATGAAGCTTATTGATGAGGTTTTGAACAGCTATGGAATCATTTCCAATGACTAAGATATCATCTACATAGATCAGGATGTAGATTTGTATGTCAGAAGTCAGAAAAAGGAGTAGAGAAGGATCACAAGTACTTTGTTTGAATCCTGCACCATAAAGAACAGATGTGAGTTTATGGAACCATGCCCTTGGTGCCTGTTTCAGTCCATATAGGGATTTGTGAAGCTTGCAGACAAGAGAAGGATCTTCAGATTGAAACCCAGGTGGCTGAACCATGTAGACTTCTTCATCAATATGTCCATTAAGAAAAGCATTATTAATGTCTAGTTGCTGAATAGGCCAATTATGAGAAACAGCTAGAGTAAGGAGAATTCTTATGGTAACAGGTTTAACAACAGGTGAGAAAGTCTCACTGAAATCAAAACCAAACCTTTGGTGGAAGCCTTTTGCCACCAATCTTGCTTTGTATTTATTGAGGGAGCCATCAGAATTCTCTTTTACCCTGAAAACCCACTTACAGCCAATAGCACGTTTGTCAGGTGGGAGTGGAACCAATGACCAGGTTTTATTTGATATTAAAGCATTATACTCAGACTGCATAGCACTGAACCATTGAGGAGATGAAAGAGCCTGCTTAACTGACTTAGGCTCAACATGGGCAAGTAACAAAGTTGGATTTAGTCTGGGTTTCACAATTCCTGATTTGGCTCTAGTTTGCATGGGATGGTTGTTAACTAAGGGAGGAGAAGAAGACTCAGAAGAAGAGGAAGAAAGTGAATTAGATGATGGATGTGATGAATTAGGTTGTGTGTGATTGGAAGAAGTGGACTGAGAGTTGTTTGAAGGATTGGACTGTGAATGAGGAGGAAGAGTTTGATTTGAAGAACTGTGAGAGGAATGAGACTGATTTGATGAATTATGAGAACTGTTTGATTGAGAATCAGACTGACTTGATGAATTATGGGAGCTATTTGATTGGGAATGAAAAGATGAGGATGAATCAGGAGTATGTAGAGGATGTAAGGACAAGACAGATAAGGTGGCAGAAGTTGGTGTTTGGGTGACTTGAGGTGTAGAATTTTTAGTTGGAAATAATGTGGAATATGGGAATTGTGATTCATTGAATGTCACATCTCTGGAAATGTAAATTTTGCCAGATTTAGAAAGACACTTGTAGCCTTTGTGTTGAGAGGAATACCCTATAAAAATGCACTCCTCTGAATGAAAATCCATTTTGTGCTTGTTATATGGTCTGATAAAGGGGTAGCAAGCACAACCAAAAACTCTGAGAAAGTTGTAATCTGGTATGGATCCATAGAGTTTGAAATAAGGGATGGAATTTGAAATGGACTTTGATGGGGTTCTGTTGATGAGATGCACAGAGGTTGCAAAGGCAGTGTCCCAAAATTTAAAAGGTAGGGAAGAATGGGCTAGTAGTGACAGACCTTTTTCCACAATAGTTCTGTGTTTTCTTTCCACAACACCATTTTGGTGATGTGTGCGAGGACAAATGATTCTGTGTGTGATTCCTTTTTCATTAAGAAAGTTTGTGAAGGACCTAAACTCTCCTCCCCAATCAGACTGGATGGATTTAATAGATACTGAAAATTGATTTAGAACAAACTGATAGAAGTTCTGAAAGGCAATGATAGCATCTGATTTCTTTTTCAGAAAATAGATCCAAGTATATCTAGTGAAAGCATCTATAAATGCTATGTAATAAGAGTATCCATCAAAGGATATCACAGGAGCAGGGCCCCAGAGATCTGTGAAGATTAATTCAAATGGTTTATGAAATATAGTAGAGGATGAATATGAAGGTAACCTATGTGCCTTTCCAAGACAACAAGCAGAACAAAACTGAATATCATTTTTATTACTTGAAGAAATTTTACAATATTGAAGAATGGACTTAAGTGCCTCATAATGAGGGTGTCCAAGTCTTAGATGCGAGACTTATTACAATCTTGAGACTTATTATATGTAGATATAAGGGAGAGGGGGTACAAAGATTTATTGCTAGAGACAACTGAAGTAGATTGATTAACTCCAGCATTGGATGGTGAACCAAGAGGGAGAGATGGAAACTGGTACAAACCATCTTCACCAAGAACTCCATGTAATAATACCTGTTTAGAAACCTGGGATTTGACATAACACTCATGAGGATGAAACTCAAAGAAAACATTATTATCCCTAGCAAACTGACTAACACTTAACAGATTTTTAGTTATAGAAGGAACATGAAGAATGTTTTGTAAAAGAAGCATGTGTGAGGATTGATATGGAGAAGGAAAAGATGAGAAACCTATAGACTGTATGTCCAGACCTTGTCCATTACCCATGAAGAGTTTGTCAGATGTTGCAAATGGTTCACTATGCTGAAAGTTCATTGGATCTGCTGTGACATGATGGGTTGCACCTGAATCAGGAAACCACTGTTGGTTTGATGGAGCAGGACCAAGAATAGAGGAGTTAGCAGTGGCATAGTTGGCAGATGGTGTATTATAAGATGATACAGCATTGGGTGTGTGATTGTTCCAGTTGAATTGTGATTAGATAAGTTCCAAGATTAGATAAGTTCCTGCAGATGGATTAGATAAGTTCCAAGGTTGAGAAGAGTTAAATTGTGATTGATGAGGTTGATATGTGTTGGATTTAGGCTGATTGGTGAACTGATTTGGTTGATAAGAGATTTGTGAGTAAGGATTGTAGTAGTTTGGAGTTGCAGGAGCAGAGTTGGGAAAATTAGGGTTAGAGTTTGTGTTGGTATATGCAGGGTTATAGCGATGATAGCAAATCAAGGCATGATGCCCTGATTTTCCACAAACTTGACAGATTGTTGAAGTGCGCCCACCAGAGCGACCACCCCTGCCCCTGTTAAAACCTCCGCGACCTCGTCCTCGATAAGAAGTTCCATTGTTGGGGTTGTTGTACTGAGCAATATTGGCAGATGAGTTTTTTCAATAGCTGTAGAAGTTTCAGAAGTTGAATTTTGAGAGGAGACTTCAGCTTGAGCAACATTGGCTGAGAAAATAGTTGTCTGAGTTGAATCACGAAGTTTCTTCATACGCATCTCTTTAGCTAAAAGCAAGGATTCAAGTTCAGATAAGGTGATTGGTTCTAGAATACTGCGAGAAGTAACAGAGGATACCAGCGATTCATAATCCTCTGGAAGACCTTCGAGAATGACGTTGATGTGGTCTTTGCTGGATATAGGTTCACCAACTAGGGCAAGATTGTTGACGATGTTTTGAATGTGAAGCAAGTATTCAGAAATTGTTCGTTCTCCCTTGCCGGTGTTGTAGAGTTCAGATTTGAGCTGCCTAGCTCTTGCGACTACATTGGCTTGGAAGAATTTGCGTATTGTGCTCCAGAGTTCGTGCGATCGCTGACATTGAATTACTCGAGCGTGAAGAGATTCAGACAAGGATGAAAGCAGCCACGAAAATAACATTTGGTCCTGCTGATCCCAGACGACGTACGCGTCATTAACAGTTCTGGTTGCTTCATTTTCACCGATGAATTGATCAGGAATTTTTGGATTTTCGATGAATCTAAGCGGTTTATGAGCACGAATCACAGATTCGATGTGATGTTTCCAGATGAGATAATTGTTCGAATCCAACTTGATTGGAAGTGGATGAGTGAAGGTTGCGGGAAAAGTAGGTGAAGAAGAAGACGAGATCGAGTTTGATTCTGGCATGGTAGATCGAGCTAGAGCTCTGATACCATATTAGAAAAGTAAGAAGGATTTAGGAAGAAATGAACCAATCTTATTATTCATGAACCAATTACAAGTATTTATAGTACTAGAGCTTAACAGATATCTAACTAACTGTATTAGCACTAACAGATACTAACAAACTCAATACAAAGAGAAGTATTACAGTTCGTGTACTATTCCTAACACGACGGAAACAAGCTCGGACACGGTTGGCAGCCCCAACGTATCTACGCACAGCGGCGACGGACAGCTGCACAAAGTCAGTTCTTCATTGGCTGCACTAAAAGAGACTCTTGCACCGCCAGCGGCGGAGCATTCAATGGTGGTGACTTCACTCGACGCGGCAGCAGCATCCTCATTCGGAATTGGACTACGCAGCTCCTTTCTTACGATGTTGCCCTCGTTTAACAAAGCAGAACCGATCAGCCGGGTTGATAAGGCTGAGAAACGGTTCAAATTGAATTGTGCTCTGCCGAGAAAGAAGGCGGCAGCCACTGTAGTTGTGATGGAAGGGTCAACCCTATACCGGTTGACCTCGATGCGGACACGAAAGCCGGGCATGTCATGGGATAAGCTTACACAGGCATTGGTGGCTCGTTTTGACTCACAGTTTCAGGGCAATTGCTTTGAACGGCTGTCCGGAGTCAAGCAGACAGGGACTGTGGAGGAGTACATCTCAATTTTTCCTAAAGATACTGGGCAGCCACCGGGAACAAATGTCAGCCGGTTTCCGGATTTCAACCTTGAGGACAAGGTTTTTTCGAAGGGGGATGGAATTGATATGAAGCAGAATCTGGGCTTGGAAGAAGAGGGGCAGAAGCCCCCGTGGGTTTACCGAAGGCTGGACGGGCTTGAGCCCACCTTCGTGGGCTATTTGCGGGCTGTTTAATTAATATTTATTATTCCTTTTATTTTGTTTCCTAATTTAATTTGTTTCCTAGTAGGATTTATTTAGGACTTCTATTCTTATTAGAATTAGAGGTTTCCTATTTCTATTTAGTTTCCTAGAATGATTTAATTAGGAGTTCTATTAGAACTGGAGGTTTCCTGTTCTATTTAGTTTCCTAGATTAATTTATTTAGGATTCCTATTCTTATTAGACCTAGAGGGTTATTTATACCCCTTGTATGCTTCATTCTTGAGGATTGGGGGAATAAAAGTTGGTTTAGCCTTTTGGCTTTGGGCAACGGTATTTATTTATCGTTGATTATCGGGCAACGGTTCACCCCGTTGATTTTTATTTTTCTGTTCTTATCAATATCACGGGATGACGGGCCCAAAGTTAAAATTAGCCACATAGAGTTTAATGAGATCTGTTTCAGAATGTATTACAAAAAAGTTTACAGAGATCTTTTTCAGAAAGTTTAACGGAAAGTTTACTGAGATCTCTTTCAAAAAAATTTACAGACAGTTTAATTAGATCTTTTTCACCTAAGATTTCTTTCAGAATGTTTTACAGACAGTTTAATATCATTTTGATTTTAGGAGCCATATGAACCATACATATATAAAACCTGTAATATAAAAAGAAGTAGCAGAAACAAATCATACAACAGCCCGCAACTTCAGCATTTCAGTTTCCTGGGCAGCAGAAAGAGCGGATAATTTTTCCAACTCGCTAACCTGAAAAATACATCAAAGAAATACTTCAACCTACTAAATCTTAATATAAAAAATGGGAGAAAGAAACATATCAGCCAACCTTCTGGTTAAGAATATTGGAAAGAGACTGAACATCAGCACGCAAATAATGTACATTTGCAGCAGTTTCTTTGTATTTGCTTAATTGACTCTGCATGCTACCCATTTCTTCTGGAAATGAAGAAACCAAAGTTCTAAATTCGGAAATTATTTCTTTCCTACCTGAAAGAAAAACAGTAACAAGTCAGCATTCGGAACATCACCAACAAATTCAAAAAATACATCAAACATCAAACATCTTAAAGTTGTCGTAATACCAGGTTCTCTAGTTGCTTCTTCCAGTCTTGCCTCAATTAGACTTCTTTCATGTTTGTGTTTCTGTATCTCCATTTCAAGCTCTTTAATTCTGGAATCAGCAACAGCTGAGGATCGATGCAAAGCATCAAGTACATCATTTTTCAAACTCATCTCTTTTTCTTTCCAAGAAAGATTGTCCTTCTCAACCTATATATTTTAGTAACAAATAAGTTGTCATTAAATGAAAGTTTAAACAGGAAAAAATGCACATATGAGAAGAGCATCCCATGATACCTGTATTTTCTTATACATTGATTGATACTGAGCTAAATCTGCCTTAGCCTTCAAAAGTTGCTCTTTGACCATGACATAAGCATGACTAGAGCATATGGTCTTCACATTCTTTAACATGTTCTGTAAAAGACAATATCTGATTAGCCACTACATGGATGAGAAATGAAGCACTCCTAGAGACGAACAGTTTACCTGCAAATTACACAATTCCTTCAATATTTCAATCCTTTCTTGGTGAAGATGATTGAGTTCAAATAACCGAAAAGATGACTGGTCCTGTTCGCAAGCTCAAGTCAGTTGATTTAACAAACACAATCCGGTCAACCAAAAAAAACAAGAGATCAACTATTCATTACTAATTTACTACCAACAACTCTTTTAGGGTTGACTCCATGTCTTTTATATCTTTATGTTTATCTTTGACTTTGTCACCAGCTACATGTTTATTAACAACATTCAGGGCTGGGAAGAATGTCCCCTTCGTGGCCTCTTTCTCTGCTTTTAGAATTGCCAATTTTCTATTATTCTCTTCCAAATCTGCAATCGTCTTCTGTAACTCGCCTATACATTAGTATCCGAAAGTAAGTATTAGTTTTAAGTTGCTAAGCACTTTTCCATAAAAGCTAGGTCCTCATTCCAATAAACACCGCATCATAAATAACTAAATGAAAGTATTTCAGAGGTAATGCAGAGAGCTCTACTATATTACTCCCTCCATCCCACTAACAATGGGACAAGAGGGAGCGGCACGCAAACCAATAAAATGTGGTTTATGTGGTTGCTATTGAATTGATAAAGTAAGAATAAAGTAAGAATGATTTAGAGCCACACAAACTTAACCAAATTTGGTATGGGACAATCTTAGTGGGATGGACTGAAAAGGTAAATGAGACAATCTTCGCGGGACGGAGAAACTATTAAATTAAGTTAAGCAATAAAAAAGCCCCACTCCCACAAGTGAGGATCAGAAGTAGAAAGAATGACAAAGAGAAGCCGCAGCGGCAATTATTGAACAGGTTGATTCTGTTCAAAACATGCGTCTTTGAAGCATAAAAGGGGGATTGGCCAAACAATAAATGCTCACGTGAATCCTTTTACTTGGTAATCGGCATAGATACTTGGCAGAGAAGAAGTCAACAGAAGACAGTAAGTTGTCCTTGCGGAAGTGCAATTATAAAGTCTGAAACTGTTGCTTATTGTTCCAACAATAAGCCCTATAAATAGTACTGGCAAGGGTCCTTGTCAGGACAGGAAAGATAGTTCAAGCCTAATACAACAATTGTAAATAGAGACTTAATAAATAAAAAGAGATGTAATGCTAATACAATGGGAAAGAATAAAATTACCCTGCAGCACATTCCTAGCTACGACATCGCTGCAAGGTCTGCGCTATCATCAAGGTTGTTAAAATCGTGTTTTTTTTATCAAATCGATACAAGTATTTACAAATCGAATCGGAAAATCGAATCATAAATCATAAGATTTTATAAAATAATTAACTAAAAATATTAGATAAAAGGAAACTCAAAGTTTAACATTATGGAGATAAACCATTATAAGTTGTCTTACAATGAGACCTTAGTTAAAATGCACAAAATAATTCATAACAAAATATATTATGTAATTAAAGAATGAATGCCAAACAAAAAAATAAAAATAATGTTTTAATCAAATTTCACAATAATATATGAATGGAAAGACTATTTAAGTATTTGTATGTTTATATATGAATAGAAACTTGGCAAGAATATGTAAATAATGGTATGTTTATTCCATAAAACATTGAACATATATTAATAGTTACACATACAACGCATGGTTGCAAGTGGCTAGTTGGTTAAGCATAGAAGACTTAAGTGTTTTAGCGATTTGGGCATGGGTTCGAAACCCAACGCAAACGTATTTTCTTTTTATAAAAATTATTTATTCTTCTGATATCCCACGTTCCCACACCGGAATAGCAGAGAAAATTCCCCCCCCCCCCCCCGCCAGTATAAAAAGCTCGGTTCTTGAAAACTCTCAGTAGGCAGCAAGTATTCAATTTGCCTTACTGGCGTGAGGAATTCGGCCGAGTTTGGTGTGTGCCAAACACAAACTTTAACATCATTAAATCGTGTTTAATCGCGATTTTGAATGATTTTTGCGATTTTAAATGTTTTTTTACGTTTTTTAATAATTCCGATTTTATACACGATTTGAATCGGTTTAGACCGTTAAGTGAGTTTGAATCATAAAATCGTACTACCTCCGTCCCATTTTATGTGTCTTAGTTTGACTTGGCACGATTATTAATGAAGTGGTTGAAAAAGTAAAAGTTGTGGTTGAGGTTAGAGTATAATAAGTGAAATGATGTAGGCCACATATTTCTTTCCAAAAAAGGAAAGAAGACACTTATTTTGGGACAACCCAAAAAGGAAAGTAGGACAGGTAAAATGGGGCGGAGGGAGTACAATTTTACGACTAAAATCGCGTTTTTGATAACATTGGCTAGCATCACGCCAAGAGTTTTTTCCACTTTTAGTCCTCCGACTACTATGTCACTGACACTTTTGGTACTCGACTTTGATTCTACAAGAGGCAATAGTGCCACTATTCTCATTCTTTATGTTGATGATTTTGTACTTACTGTTGAATTTGATTTAAATATTTAAGGAGACATGTGATTCTTCTTACTGTGGAGGTGGCCAGGAATCAAGCGGGAATTTCAGTGCCACAGTTCACAAAGGAAGTACACTGGACTTCAAATACATAGAAGTGTAATCCTCTTAGGTGCTAAAGTTGTTGACACTCAAGCATATGTTTATGCGAAACTGATGCAAAACCAGATGACACTCTGGTGGATAAAAGAAAATACCAGTAACTAATTGGCAAGATCATCTATACAATAGACTGGATATATCTTTGCAGTAAGCTGTGCAAGTCCATTTATGCACTCTCCCTCTGAAGCCCACTTACAAGTTATAAGCAGTTTACAGGATCTCAAGGCATCTAAAATGCTCTCTGCATTTTTCTTTGTTAGCAAAACAAACACTTCACTAAAACAAACAAAGATAAAATCATGTCCATACATAGGTAGCCCCCTTTTATGTAACAAGTTTTTCTTTTTTTGGCTTTCTTTCCTAACCGATCAAATTTATAACGCAGCAAGATTATTGAGTTACATCCAAGTGGGATGGAGTAGGATTGTTCTTTATGAGGAATCGAGAGAAATGACTTTTCCATCTATATTGACACAGATTGGGCAGGCTCAGTAGATGACTGAAGATTGACATCATGTATTGTACATTTGTTCAGGGAATTGTAGTGGCATGGAGAAGTAAAAATAAAATAAGATGCTTTCGCAAGCAGCAGAGCAGAGGCACAATTGAGATGAGCAGCACTTTGAATTTGGGAAGATTGTTGGCTTAAAATGCTCGTTCAAAAAGTTTTGAATAAGTCAAGATGGAAGGGATAAGAACATTGTGTGACAGTAAAGCTGATATTTAGTGCAGTCTTTAAGGACAACAAAAATTATTGAGGAAAAAATACCTCGTAAACACTTGAGCTCAGCTTCATTCTTTGCATCAGCATCTCTATGACTCTGCAATGCACCTGCCAATGTTCTGTGCTTCACATGAAGTTCATTTACAGCTTGTCTTAGGTTTTTCAATTTTTTAAGCAAATCATGGGATGCTTCTGCAGAGGAGGATCCTGATAAGAAATAACAGCAGGTGAATATATATGTAATAATATTATATATAAGTATATTATATATATAATTATATATATATATATATATTAACAAGATCAAAAGATGATGTAATTAAGTGATCATAATCACTTCAGAGTTAAGTTAGGTCACACACAACTATGCATCGTACCATTATCTGAAAGTGACTTAAGAAGTGCAGTATACAATCTATCCTTTATATGCCAGAGACTATCAACAGCTGCAATTGCATTAGACACTACGTCCATCGCCTTGTCATCAAGATCTGTTTTCTTGTCTTCCATTGTGCCATCATTTGGATCTACTTGTAGTAGAGCATTCACTAATGCTTCACCGCCAGCAGGTGAATAACCACCTAGTGAAAATAAAAGAACATATCCGTATTGACCAGGCTTAAACTACTATGACAATGATATTCACTAGGGTCAAACAAATCGATAGTATTCTGAATGATGAAATGGTACCTACTTTAAAATGAACATGTCCTGACTATCATCATAGTCTACTAAACCTATTTAAAAATATAGTGCTGTGAACACTTTTCTGCCTCAATGACAATTTGAAGAAAGCTCTAAAAGACTAATCTAAAGAAGCAAAAACTAATAAGAAACAGCAAATATAGGAACTCAATAGCATATGGCTGGGAAAAGAACAATAAAGAAAAAAGTCTAGGAATGGGTGTGTAACACTGGGCTACTGAAATCTCAGGTGCACGGTGCACTAAAAGTTCAACCAATCTTCTGATCTTGTCATCATGATTTTATGTGCACTAGAAATACCATGAGTTTATATACTGCTGAAACAAGAATGTGAAGAAGTTACGAAGGAAGGACAAGGCGAATTGGTTAATAAAAGTAGGAAAGCAATGAAAAATTGTGAAAGATGGCCTGAAATTCAAGTGGCTATAATGTTTTTAGATTTCTTCTTTCATTTTCTTTACTTTCTCTAGATCACAAGATGGAGGTTAAAATCATCCAAGTGTCGTATGATGGCACTTCTGCCCCCTCTAATACAATGCTTTTAAAGTAAAATAAAAAATTAAAAGTAAAGTATTCTGACTTAACCTTCTTGATTGAAATGCTCTTTACCATCCATCAAAGCCTCTAGGCCAATTGAGAGATCCTTTAAGCGAATTGAACGCGTTTTCAGCTCATCAACCACCTAGCAAAAAGAAAATCTCAGAAAGGCCATCCAGAAAGATGTAAAATTGAGCAATGCACAGTATACATTTGAACCTTGGTGCATACACCATTGCACATCATGCCGAACGATAACATGGCAAGTGCATACCTCGTTCCATGATTTCTGGACTAATTCCAAAGTACTGTCATATGGCTGTTGTTTTTCCCTTTGTTTGGTAAGTTTATCCTCAAGTCCAGCAATCTCAATCTTCTGAACTTCCAACTTTTGTGAAAGCTTTTGATTTTGATGCTGCAGTACTGCAGTGTCAAGCTACAACAGTATATAAGCATTGCGTTTGAATTAGAAGAGAAGAATGCCGAATTTCCTAGTTTCTTCAGTAGTTACATTTCACCAATAGAACACTTAAAATCTAAAATCATTCCTAAAACTTGTTCACAGGAACTCGAAAATTGTATGCAGACCCAAAACCAACTCCTCGCGGACCGGGACATAGCATGTCAAGTTAAGACTTGGCTGCAACAAATACAGCCGAGTGGAAAATAATAAGAGATTCAAAAGTCACACCTTTATAAGTGTATCCATCGGAGTAGTCAAGCTCCGGATAAGGTTTACGCCTCCGGCAACGAGCTGTCCCTTCCGGCAGAAAAAGAAAAAATAAAACAAAAACACCTGGGATTTCCTTGCTTTGTTCAAAACTTGAAAAGAAGGTTCAAATAAATACAGTACATCTTGTATGTTTTTATACAACCGTCCATTTTATACTGGAAACTAATAATTCAACCTTTTAGCGGTTTAAAAGGTTCTCACTCTCTATTTTAGGAAACAATTAACACTCTCAAATACATATAACAATTTAAACATCAAATAGTCCGACCTTTTCGTTATTCATGAATAATCCAACATTTGTACCTCATCTTCATTCATTGGTCCCCGACTGGTTGATGACCTGCTATTCCGAGTTATTTTCTTATCTCTGCAAACTATTATACCATAAATTCCACCTTTCACAAAGATAATATTTTGCAAAGATAAGAAAATAACTTGAAATAACAGGTCATCAACCGGTCAGGGACCAGTGAATGAAGATGAGGTGCAAAGGTTGGATTATTCACGAATAACGAAAAGGTGGGACTGTTAAAAGAAGACCGCTAAGATGTTGGATTATTAGTTTCCATTTTCCCTTTGTATACAGTACATCTTGTCATTTTTAAAATTATTATATACGAAATATTTTTTCTTGGAATAATTTACTTTGTATAATATAAAAATTATATGAAAAAGTTTTTGTTAATTTACTTTTACAAAATCGTGATTCATTTTTTTGAAGGCAATTTCTTTAAAGGTGAAATTTTTTGAAACAGAGGTAGTATATGTGATAGATTATTTATCTTAGAGAGAAGGGAGAGCTAGAGAGATAAAGTGATATGTATAATGAATTCCAATCAACCATTCAATCAATCCCCCCTTTACATGGCTCCCATAGGGAGTATTTATAGAAGAAAAGAGGGCTGGGCTTCCAGGCTTGGGCCTGGCTGGCCCAGTTACAATAAAAGGCCAATAAATGGCTAATAAATAGTATCTAATTTATTTAAATGTGTACATATGAATAAATGTAGTGTACAAGGAAATAAATGCTATCTACTGAACATATGTGGGCCGCTGTCCGGGCTGCTGTCTGGGCCCAATAGTCGTGATACCCAGGGTCCGAGTCTATATACTCTATCAGGAGTCCCCCACTCTCTGAGTCGAGAGTACTCGAGGCGAAAGAGAGTAGAACTGTGTGCTGATCTGTCGTCGTCCGGTGAGTAAACTGCTCTCATCATCGAAGCGCCTCGCCCGGATTCCTAAGCCGATGATCCGATCCCACTGGTGAGCCCTGGCTGAGGCAACCCTGTGGGAAAATCCTCAGCCGAAGGTCGCAGGCCAGAGACCATCACCACCGGTCCTGAGGCCGGGGAGCTATGTATATGTACTGGCCGATGTGGCAGCTCAATATGTATGTGATATGATGATGTCGTCGGTGTGAGTGGCAACCCTTGCAAAAATTTTGAATTTCTGCTTCTTTGGTAGCGAAGGCGCTAAGTCCCCCGTTCTCCCAGTCCCCCACTCCTTGAGGCGAGTGTAACGAGGTGAAGAGGAGTAGAGTAATGCATGTCTGATGATGTCTGCAACAGGGGGCCGAGGGTTGACACCTTTTGATCCACAATGGGGCGATGCCTCGTTAAAAACCTCATTAGGAAAAACCCTGTGGGAAAAAATCCTAATGAGGGAAAAAGAGTACATCGGATGCCCCCAGAACGAAGCAAAAGGTGCGAGCCCTTCGGCCTAGAGGTGGAGCTGCAGCGGTGTCCGTCTGCCGAGGGGATGGCAGAGGCCGATCCATAGATGTGGGTAGCTCGTCATGATCAGTAGTCCTAGTCATCAAATAAAGATGACTAAGGGATGGGTCGAGCGACCGTCCATAATATGATGTCTGGTTCATCAAATAAAGATGACCAGAATATGAGGCCGATGGGCCAATGTGAGCTCCACGTCATCAAATAAAGATGACTGGGAGTAGTGGCCGAGAGGCATATATGAGAGCTCCACGTCGTCAAATAAAGACGACGGGGCGATGTATGGCCGAGGGGCCTGCATAAGAGCTCCACGTCGTCAAATAAAGACGACGGGGCGAGATATGGCTCAGAGGCCTATAGATGAGTTCCTCGTCATCAAATAAAGATGACAGAACGATATGTGGCCGATGGGCCTGTAGATGAGCTCTTTGTCATCAAACAAAGATGACAGAATAATATATGGCCGATGGGCCTGTAGATGAGCTCTTTGTCATCAAACAAAGATGACAGAATAATATATGGCCGATGGGCCTGTAGATGAGCTCTTCGTCATCAAATAAAGATGACAGAGCGGTATATGGCCGATGGGCCTGTAGATGAGCTTCTCGTTATCAAATAAAGATGACGGAGCAAGATATATGGCCGATGGGCCTGTATGAGAGCCCTTCGTCATCAAATAAAGATGCTAGAGCAAGATGTGGCCGAGGGGCCTATAGATGAGATCTGAGATCCTTTAGTCTCTGAGCCGGAGACCGCAAGGTGTTTGCTAGATCCGAACATGAGGACGAGGCGTTGGACGCCTGTCTGAATATGAGGATGAGGCGCTGGGCGCCTGTCTGAATATGAGGACGAGGCATTGGACGCCTGTCTGAATGTGAGGACGAGGCGTTGGACGCCTGTCTGAATATATGCGGACGAGGCGTTGGACGCCTGTCTGAATATGAGGACGAGGCGTTGGACGCCCGTCTGAATATGAGGACGAGGCGTTGGACGCCTGTCTGAACATGAGGACGGGGCGTGGGACGCCTGTCTGATGATGACGAGGCAATGCTGAGCCGATCATCATATATAGGCGACAGTCGCCATCCAGGAGGGGATGGCGAGCCCGATCGCTAACCCAAGACATTCGGCAATGAGAGGCCGGTCTCGGAAATAGGACATCACATCGTGGCCTAGGGGCCGATCGTGATGTGAGGACGGCTGTGATAAGGAGCCGATCCAAAATAACAATGACGAGGCGATGATAAGCCGGTCGCCATGTAGGGGCGATAGTCACCATCCAGGAAGGGATGGCGAGCCTGATCGCTAGCTCAACACACTCGGCGCTGATGAAGCCGGTGTTGAGATAGATCATCACGCCGAGGCCGGGGCGGCGGTCGTGATATAAGGATGGCGATAATGGGTAGCCGATCCGAATAATGATGACGAGGCAGAGATGAGCCGGTCGTCATGTAGAGGCGACGGTCACCATCCAGGAAGGGATGGGGAGCCCGATCGCTAGCTCAACACACTTGGCGCTGATAAAGCCGGTGTTGAGATAGGGCATCACGTCGAGGCCGGGGGGGCGATCGTGATGCGAGGTCGTCAGCACTATGAGGCTGAGCCAAACGTCCAAGCAACGGTCGCCATCCGATGAAGGAATGACTGAGACCGGTCTTGGGGAATATGATCACGTCGAGGCCGAGGGCCTGCCATGATCGGAACTGAGGGGCCGACCCAAAAATCCATGCAATGGTCGCCACCCAGTAAAGGAATGGCTAAGACCAGTCTTGATATAAGGTACCGCGCCTTGGTCGAGAGGCCGGCGGTGATGCGAGGATGACGACTATGATAAGCCGGTCCAATGTATGATGACGAGGCAATGATAGGCCAATCGCCATGTAGAGGCGACGGTTGCTATCCCGGAAGGGAATAGCAAGCCCAATCGCTAGATCAAGACACTCGGCGCTGAGGGAGCCGGTCTTGAGATAAAGCATTACGTCGTGGCCGAAGGGCCCGATCGTGATGTGAGGACGAAGATGCTGAGGAGCATGTCCGAGATATGATGACGAGGCAATGATAAGGCCGATCGTCATGTAGAGGCAACGGTCACCATCCAGGAAGGGACGGCGAGCCCGATTGCCAACTCAAGACGCTTGGCGATGAGAAGCCGGTCTTGAGAAGGAATAATCACACCAAGGCTGGGAGGCCGGTCGTGATGTGCGGATGGCGATGATGATGAGCCGATCCGAATAATGATGATGATGAGGCGGAGATGAGCCGATCGTCATGTAGAGGCGACGGTTGCTATCCCGGAAGGGAATAGCAAGCCCAGTCGCTAGCTCAAGACACTTGGCGCTAAGGGAGCCGGTCTTGAGCTAGAGCATCACGCCGAGGTCGGGGGCCTGGTCGTGATGAGAGGACGGCGATGATGATGAGCCGATCCAAATAATGATGACGAGGCGGAGATGAGCCGATCGTCATGTAGAAGCGATAGTCGCCATCCAGGAGGGGAATGGCGAGCCCGGTCGCTAGCTCAAGACACTTGGCGCTAAGGAGGCCGGTCTTGAGATAAGGCATCACGCCGAGGCCGGGGGCCTGGTCGTGATGAGCGGACGGCGATGATGATGAGCCGATCCGGATAATGATGACGAGGCGATGATGAGGCCGATCGTCACATAGGAGCGACAGTCGCCATCCAAGAGGGGAATGGCGAGCCCGGTCGCTAGCTCAAGACACTTGGCGCTAAGGAGGCCGGTCTTGAGATATAGCATCACGTCATAGCCGAGGGGCCGATCGTGAAGAACGGATGGCGATGATGATGAGCCGATCCGAATAATGATGACGAGGCGATGATGAGGCCGATCGTCACATAGGAGCGACAGTCGCCATCCAGGAGGGGAATGGCGAGCCCGGTCGCTAGCTCAAGACACTTGGCGCTAAGGAGGCCGGTCTTGAGATATAGCATCACGTCATAGCCGAGGGGCCGATCGTGAAGAACGGATGGCGATGATGATGAGCCGATCCGGATGATGATGACGAGGCAGAGATGAGCCGATCGTCATATAAAAGTATGACGGCGTTGGGGAGGCCGTTCATGAGCTGATGGAGCAAGAGCTTCGGCATTGGGAGCCGGTCTTGAGACGAATAATAAGTTTGGGGAATTTATTTATTTTTATTGCTCGAGGCCGGCAAGTGCGCGAAGGGTTACTGTCCCTTCGTCCATGTGCGGTAGTTTGTCCGCTACGCTTTTCGCGTGGATTAGTGCGAGGGAGTAAATACGCCCTCGGCTTGTCAGTGGCATCTTTTTTGCCTTTCCACGTCTATCGTCGACGAGGGACCGGACTAGGCATCGTCTTTTGACGGCCGCCCTTTGTGGTCCTGAGCGAAATTTTACTGACGGGTGGAGTTTTTGTAACCTCAGCCTTAATTCAGGCCTGTCGTCCTGCGGTTTCCGCGCGGACGACGCGGTATGCTTCTCCGTTTGAAGACGTTGGACCATGCACACAGGTCCTTCGTCCTGCATATCGCCGGTCGATTTGGGTGTTTCACCGCTTGTGCCGATACGATATTTAGGTGCGTTGTTTATTGCAACGGCTTTGTAGGCGCGTTGTGGATCGCAACGGCCTTAGGTGCGTTGTGTATTGCAACGGCTTTGGGTGCGTCGTTTATTGCGACGGCTTTAGGTGCGTTGTTTATTGCAACGGCTTTGGGTGCGTCGTTTATTGCGACGGCTTTAGGTGCGTTGTTTATTGCAACGGCTTTTGGATGACGCAATTAGCGTGTAGGGGAATGAGGTGTATCCTTTACCGCTTTTAGGCATAACGCTGTGTGCGGCCGATGATGGCTCTCATTCTAGATATCCGGGTCATCAAATAAAGATGACCGGGGTAGGTCAAGGGACCCAAATATAATCCGAATCATCAAATAAAGATGTTCGGAAGGTTAAGGCTTTGGCCCGCACCAATTGGGGATTTTAATCCGCTAGCAATGGTGGTGATGATAATAGTAAAACTATTTTTTCTTTTTCTCTTTGGAATAGTAGTAAAACTATTTTTCCGGAATAGTAGTAAAACTATACTTTTTTTTTTTGAGAATAGTGGTAAAACTATTTTGCTCCATATTTAATGCATAAAATAGGAGGAAGAGTTTGTGGGATTTACCTGTATTTGGGCCGAAGCCTGCCCTGCTTAGAATTCAAGCAGGGAAATGTAAGACTGGGCCTGCAGATTAAACAGCCGGCCCATATGATGATAGTCCACCCTTTTGATTGAGATGCTGGTTCCAGATCACGCTACTTGCCAATTTCATCCGCAGGGGAGAAGTCCATACGAAGGAGTGGAGCGTGGAACAGAATGGCGAGGTGGTTCCCTTTCGTCGCCGGAAAGCCTTGTGGACGAGGAGGTCCTTGCTGCTCCGGCCGTCGCGAAGACCAGATGGTGGCCGAGGGATCCGCGATTGGGCGCCGGAGAGGGGCCAGAGACGACGATGGGGAGGGTCCTGACCTGGCTGAGGCGATTCGGACCCTATCTGGCCGGAGGTGGTCGCTTGGCAGAGGTGACCCTATTCTGGCCGATGCGAGGCTTCTGGCCGAAGGTGGATTGCTCAGTCCTCTGTTCAGGTTTGGCCGATGGGTGACATCGGATGTGTGCGGCCGATGCGCGCATTGCTTGACGAGGTGGCCCCGTTTTGACTGATGCGGCCCGGCCGACGCGGTTGCTTGACGAGGTGGCCCTGTCGCGTCCGATGCGGTGCGCGGCCGATGCGGTGCGCGGCCGATGTGGTGTCCCTCTTTTTGACCGGTGCGGTGCGGACGATGCGGTGTCGGCTGATGCTCGCTGGACGAAGGAGGTGCAGCTCCCTGGCCGAGGTGGCCCTACTGTGGCCGATGCGATACTGGCCGATGATGTTTCAGGTTGATGACGTTCCCAGCAGAAGTGTTCTGGCCTGACTGATGTTCCTCCTTCAGCTCCCCTCAATGGCAGAGGCGGCGCTTGCTGATGCAGGGCCTTAGCAGAGGGAGTCGCCTGGCGGTAGGCTGACCGATGAGGTGCCCGGCCGATGGGGCATTGTGGCCAATGTGGAGCACCACTGCCTAATTCACGGACGAGGGGCGACGGCCCCTTCCTCCCTTACGTTCAGGTTTGACCGAAGAGCTTCCTTTGGCCGATGGGCGCCGGTTTTTCGGCTGGACGAAGGTCCTGCCTAGTCCAAGGGGCCTTGCTTATTCCCAGGACGAGGGGTGCTATGACTGGACGAAGGTTTGCTTGGACGATATGGGGCCCTTTACTCAACTCAGGCCGATATTGGAGATAGAGGACGAAGCGTATGGCCGAAGCTGTCCCAATATTTATTGGAGACAGAGGACGAGGCGTTTGGCCGAGGCGAAGCTTTTCTGACGATTGATGTTGTGGCCGAAGCTATCCAATATTCGTAGTTTAAGTTGACCTTGCCGTCATATTCAAGTGGTGGGCTGACTTGTGGTTTAGGAAGCTGCCACCTGTAAGGCCAAGTGGATATTAACCAGCTGGTATACTTCTGTTGCTTTCTTTAGTTCTGGCCGAAGGAATACTTGAAATTCCTTGTTGTTGAACACCCACATTTGAAAGTGTGTTTTGGGTTTCATTTTGCTCCTAATTGGGCGGATGTGATACCACGTCTTTTGTTTTGGTTGGGAGGATCTCACTTGATATATTCTAGCTCTCAATGAAAGCACCAAATGATAGATTATTTATCTTAGAGAGAAGGGAGAGCTAGAGAGATAAAGTAATATGTATAATGAATTCCAATCAACCATTCAATCAATCCCCCCTTTACATGGCTCCCATAGGGAGTATTTATAGAAGAAAAGAGGGCTGGGCTTCCAGGCTTGGGCCTGGCTGGCCCAGTTACAATAAAAGGCCAATAAATGGCTAATAAATAGTATCTAATTTATTTAAATGTGTACATATGAATAAATGTAGTGTACAAGGAAATAAATGCTATCTACTGAACATATGTGGGCCGCTGTCCGGGCCGCTGTCTGGGCCCAATAGTCGTGATACCCAGGGTCCGAGTCTATATACTCTATCAATATGCAAAAGTGATGCTTGTATATGAAAATGGAAAAATTGACAAGAATAATCTCACCTTTCACTGGTCTTCTTTAAATAATCTCACCTTTAAATAATCTCACTTTTGCATCTCATCTTCTTTCATTGGACCCTGAACATGTTTTTTACACTTTCTTTGAAAATTATACAAACAATCCCACTTTTCACTTTTTAAGTATATCTATATAAATGTGAGATTATTTATATAAGATTTTTAAAAAAGGTAAAAAAAACTTGGTCATGGTCCAATGAAAGAATATGAGGTGCAAAGGTGGGATTATTTAAAGGTGGGATTATTATGAGAAGACCAATGAAAGGTAGATTATTCTTGTCAATTTTTCCTATGAAATTCGTATAGTTGTCCCTGGTAAGCTAAATAGTTATATGAATATTTATTAATTAGTTGGAAAATACACATGAAATTGAAATTTTTTCAGCTCTATAAAGTGTCTATTTAAATAATGTTTTCATTATAAATATATTGAAAGTAAAATGTGTTTTTAATAGTGTTTGGATCTATTTCTTATAATTGTTTCTGCTCCTTTAGAATGAAATGAAACTGCATAAGTGCTTCCGAGTGCTCCAAATTGCTACTATGAGCAGTGTAAAATCTAAGGGAGACGGACCAGTTTCTGAAAAACTTATTTTGATTCTACTTATGCTTTTGAAAAAATAAATAGGAGCAACATCAATTCATACCTATTTTTTTTTCCTTTTTTGAGGAATTTGAGCTTATTTTTAAAAGGGAAAACTGTCAAATAGATCCTCAAACTTTCATAAAAAGGTCAAATAAGTTCTTATATAGGAGACTCTGTCCGGCCGTCGCGATTTGGGACGGTTCCCGGTGGAATTTTTTGATTAAATTTTTTTAACATCTTATTCATCAAGTCTAGTTTACTCATATCAAATTTCAGTTAAAACTTCAAGAATTAACTGCGCATTTAACTGCACAGTTATCTTCAAGAATTAATTTGAATGCGTTCCTGATTGAAGTTTTAGCTGAAATTTGGTATGAGTAAACTAGATTTGATGAATAAGATGCTCAAAAAAATTCATCAAAAAATTCCCCCGGGAACCCCCCCAAACCGCGATGGCCGGACAGAGCATCTCATATAAGGACTTATTTGACCTTTTTATGAAAGTTCGAGGACCTATTTGACAGTTTTCTCTTTTTAAAGTCTGTAATATTGAATAAATTTTGGCATTTTTGGAAAAATAATAAACTTTAGCATCAAATTTATACTAAATAATGTTCCAACACAATTATGAAAAGTCCACCTTAGATTAGCTATAATTTTTATTGAGTGACGCCATTCATCTTAAATTTCAGTGCATAACCTTTTAATCATAGACAAAAAATATATAGTTCCTATTATTGATGGTGTTTATTGATAGCTTTGTAAATTCAAGTAATGATATTTATACAACTTTATCATTATTTTATTTATATAAAATTATGAATATAAATTGAATTGTCACATACATTCATAACAAACACATTGAAATATCAAAAGAATCTAGACATAAAAGATGCTCAAAATATATAATTTTGTTTTTTAAAGTCATCTAATATTATGTGTTCAATTGAGGCTTTTTGTATTGTTTTTAATGTGCTATAGGATGTTTGAAATTGATTCTACTTCACTTTTTAAAACAAATGTATAATCAGAAGTAGTTTTCTCTCACTTCTAAGGATGTTTTTACTTGGACTGTAATTTGTCCCAGACCAGACCAGACCAGACCAGACCAGACCAGACTTGGATAGTTATAAAAATACAAAGAAACCAGACCTTACCAGACCAGACCAGACCAGACCAGAAAATTACAGTCCAAGTAAAAAACATCCTAAAAACAGTTTCCATGAGTAATTAGTAATTTAGAGCACTTAGAAATACGTATGCAGTATCTAATTTACTTGAATTTTATGAAATAGACTCATCACCCTCATTAACTAATTTACTAAATATAACTCGGATTAAATCTTACACTCTTCAAATCTTATTTATTGCCTTCCGTAAGAGTGAGATTAAGGCTAATTGCAATTCTTTTTCACTGATTTCACATGACCAGAAAACTCAAATAAAAATCAAAACAAAAATCAAATGTTCAAACGTAGCTATTGGTAGACTTAAGTAAAGTAAAATCATTTAATGTCTTTCATGAAAAAAGTAAAATTATTGTTCAATGGATAAGAGGCGAGTAAAAGGCCATTGTTTTTAAACCGGTATAAAAGTAATAAATTTACACTACTATACTCATGAGACCAAGCATTTACCAGATTATACCAAACTAGTTCAAACTAGACTAAACCAGCAAATTTCAATCCAAAAGAAAACATCCTACACCCATTCATACAAAAATGATTTTTTTGATATAGAAAGCTTCTAGAGGAATGGGAAACCTCACCAGTCACCCCCAATAAGAAGCTGTTCTCTTCGCCTGATCTGAATGTTTCTGATCTGAATTTTTTAAGTTCTGATCTGATCTGATCTGAATTTTTCTGATCTGATCTGATCTGATCTGATCTGAATCTGTCTGATCTGATCTGATCTGATCTGATCTGAATCTGTCTGATCTGATCTGATCTGAATCTTTCTGATCTGATCTGAATGTTTCTGATCTGGTCTGATCTGATCTGAATGTTTCTGATCTGATCTGAATCCTTCTGATCTGATCTGAATCTTTCTGATCTGATCTGATTCGAATATTTCTATGATTATAATTATAATTATAATTATAATTATAATTATTATAATTGCAATTACAAATATAATTTAAATAAAATTATAATTATAATTGTAATTATAATTACAATATTTATCTCTATAATTGTAACTATAGTTATCAATATTATTATAATTACTCCGTAAAATAATTACAATAATAATAATAATAATAATAATAATAATTATAATAAAAATAATAATTATAATCATAAATTATAATTATAATATAATTATAAGTATAATTATAATTATTATAATTATAATTAATAATAATTATAATTATATTAACATTAATTACAATATTATAATTTAATAATAGTAATATAAATACAATTAATATTATTATAACGACATTATTATATTAATATTATTATTACAATAATATAATAATATTATTATTACAATAATATAATAATAATATGATTATTATTATAATTAGTATTATATTATTATAATATTATATTATAATTATAATTATAATCATAATTAAAATTATGATTGTAATTATAATTACAATTATTATAATTATAATTAATTACAATTATATTTATATTTAATTATAGATATAATTATAATAATTACAATTGATTATACTTATAATTATACGAATTATAATTGTAATTATAATTATAATTACATATAATTATAATATAATATTATAATAATATTAATCATATTATTATTATTATAATATTGTAATAATTATAATAATAATAGTCTTCTTAACAATTGCATTTATATTACTATTATTATATTAAAATATTATAACTATTATTAATATCTTTTTTTATCATATTATTTTTAATATTATTAATAATAATTATATAATAATAATCATAATAGTAATAACAATATTAATAACAATAATTAATATTTAATATAATAATAAAAATGATAAATCATGTTTGAACTTTTCTGATCTGATCTGATCTGAATGTTTCTGATCTGATCTGAATGTTTCTGATCTAGTCTGATCTGATCTGAATCTTTCTGATCTGATCTGAATCTTTCTGATCTGATCTGATTTGATCTGAATCTTTCTGATCTGATCTGATCTGAATCTTTCTGATCTGATCTGAATTTTTCTGATCTGATCTGAATAAAATAAGAATAAGCAATAAGTAATAAGAATAAGACGAACAGAGCACCTAAATTAATATAGGCAACCAAGATCGTCATTACGAGAAATGGGACCTTTAATAAGAAAAACAATGACATGCGTGATTTAACTATTGGCTTATTAATATTAAAATAAATCCCAAGCATGATGAAACGAAGAATCAAAGTTTGTAACCGAAGCAAAAAAACTATACACCGTTTAAATGACTTACAACATTGAATGACCACCTGACATATTACTTTGAGAAAAATACTTCAAATTCATTGAAGTATATATAACACAAGTTTACAACAGCAACTAGCAATGACATACTCGCCAAAATAGTGCCACACTGGGAAGTGGGAAGTTGTCAGGAAAGATATTTTTGAATATTATGATTATCATGCCATAGCAGGATTAGCAGCTTCATCCATGAGTTCCATCAGTTGCTCCCTGCTGCCCAACAGATTGCTGTGGGACTGGCCAGCGTTTCCTATTACCAGAGCCAGATGAAACCTTAACAACGGCTGGTCTCAATAGTCGATTTCCAAGCCTAAATCCACGCCGGTATTCTTGAGTTATTACTCCCTCCCGAAACTCGTTAGATTCTTCTCGAGCAATAGCTTCATGTAGCTGGCAAAAGAAAAAGAATTATCAAAATGAGGATCCATCATATGAGAGTTGACGCCATAATTATCAAGTTAAATTTGGTATTCCTCAAACATGAAGAAGCTCGTCAATGACTTGAACATGTGAAATTTTCTTATAATCAGGGCCAAAACATTGTCAATTTCCTTTAATCAGAGTATTTCTACATTATTCCCCTTTTAGAAGTATATGACTCCTCAAAAGGAAAGTAGCTATTTGAACATTTTTGTCCATCGCAAGAGTATAGTCAGGATATAACTCCATAGTACTTCTGTTGTTTCATCAGTATAATGAATATATCCAACTCAACAATGACTCTACAGTTACCATCAAGTTAGTCATAGTGTATAGTGATAAGTGTACAATTACTCTATCCTGAAGATACTCTTTAGCTCTAGAAAAATACTAAAAAGAATGTCGTGAAGGTTTGCTACAAGGGTGATCTGTTAATTTCAAAATCTTTACTCTAATCAAGATTGGCCACAATATGATCCAATTTATGGAATACTGAAACATATTGTGTATTACGTTCTAGCATTAAAGCAATGCTAACATTAGCCATTCCGGTCCAAACGCAGGAGAAGACAAATACTAGAAAAAATAAATAAAAGAAATGCAATTTGGAAAAATATTTGAGGAGAGTTATCTTACTGATGGGTCAAATGGCTTGCCAACAGTGGGCACTACAGTGACTTGCAAACTCCTCATTATTTCTACAAACTGCTTGTATATGCCCTGGTAACTTTTGTCTATGTTTTTCTCCCTCTCTGTTTCTAGCTTAGCCTGTTGCTTAGCACTCTCAAAAGTGTCCACAATTGGCAAGAGGTTCTCAATTATTTCTGCCTCGCTATCACTTCTAATTGTTGATTTCTCCTTATCGTATCGTTTTCTGAAATTTTCAAAATCTGCTTGCAACCGCATATATTTTGCCTTCCCCGATTTAATTTCATCAGACAAAGCAGAAACCCTCTCAGCCAACATGGTTTTCTCCTTTTCGATCTGGCACATCATAGCCTCAACTTTTGACACCCCTTTCATATCTCCGTTAAAAAGTGCCACTTTGTAAACTTGCACAAGGGATGTTAAACTGGTAGAGTTTTTCTCATCTGCTTCATTACTGTTTGTCTGCCAGAGATCATTTACATCACATTGATAAGCCAGTGTTACGGATATCAAAGAATAAGATAATTTAGTTCTACAAGTCCTTATATGCTACTACGTATTATAAAACTTATACGACATTATTCCAATTTCATGTTTTATTACACATAAAGGTTATAAGGTTCCCTTTGGCTCGGGGATTTTCAAGGAAAGGAAGGGGAGGATTGATTTTTATTTTACTGATATATATCTTTATTTATGAGTCTTAGACTATAAAAATGATTTCTATATAACTTTTCATTTTCACTTTTGTCCAACCATCTAAATGTGCAAATAAATTAAAAGAAAATCCCTTCTCCCCTTTTCTGCCCTCCAAAATTCCCCCAACCAAACACATTCTTACTGTAATAAAGTAATATTGCTGCACCAAGTAGTAGTTCAAAAAATTCAAAGGGGAAAATGAAGAAAGCCATAGGTTAGGAGGAAAGAGGACTGAACAAGAGAATGGAACTTGTTTATTACAGATAAGATAACTACGTAATCATAAAAACGAGTATCCAAAAGGAATATGTCCTCGAGTTGAAGCAAAACATGTCATTTTTCCTTAAATAGAACTACAAATAAAAATATGACTAACCTATATTAAATTACCCAAAATACCCTTTTATTGTAAGCCTTTCATAGTTCCATGGCCAGAGAGAAACCTCCACCAGACGGCCACCACCTTCACATTCAGACCACCACAGAACGCCGGGCAGTCACCCGCACTGGCTGGACCTCCGGCCACCACCAACCCTAAGTGTTAAACCCTAAGGGTATTTCAGTCTAAATTACTCTTTTTTCCAAAATTAAGGATCACAAAAATCCTACTCCAGGAATAAAACTTGAGGTAGTCCTATTTTTTACAACTAAGTTTTAGTATTATACTACTCCGTACTATACAGAGCAATTTTCTCTATTTGTAACCGTATAACATGAAGATTAGGGGAAAACAAGACTTGGAAGTTAAAAACATGAAATGTTGGAAATATAGTGACCATTCATCAAAGTTCACCTAAATAGAAGCCTAACCATGACTGGCTAATAAAAAGATGTGTGAAATCCAAGATAAGCAAAGAATTTACTTGAGCCTCTCAAAAACTTCCAACAGAATGGTTCTAGCTAAATGCTAATGAACCTCTAAAATTCTAGGAAAAAAAGATATTCACACTAGATGATGAAGAACGAATTGAAAGGGGAAAATTCCCAAAATATCAAAATTAAAATAAAATTGACACTGGGTATTGACGATTGATGATGAAACTAGCATGGCAAATATATCAATGAGGAACAGAGGAAGTACTTTGGGGGCGGAGTCTTTCGGAGTGAAGACAGCTCTGGGCAAGGAACGCTTGGTGCTATTGACGATGACTGAATTGCATTTGTACTCGGTGGCCAGTGGTAAAATTGTGCCGTGGACGGGTTTATGGAGCAAGATATGCTTGTGGTAAACGGGGGTTTGTGCAGATTTGGAAGGAGAAAAGGGAAGAGTGCAGAAAGAGCTCGAGCGACAAGCCGCCATTTTTGGGTGAGATTTGGCTGTTTTTTCTTTGAAATTACGCTTATAAATACGGACACAAGGGGATTCTTTTTGTTTTTACTTCTTTCTAATACGGAGTAATGTTTTTACTTGGAACTTAATTTGCTGGTCTTATCTGGTTTGGTCTGATCTGATAATGTTTGGTCTCTTTGTGTTTTTATAACTATCCAAGTCTGATCTGATTTTATCTGGTCTGGTGTGATCTGAGACGAATTATATTTCAAGTAAAAACATCTTTAATACTAGTAATAATAGAGTACTACAGAGCACTACGTAATAATGTTAAGTATTGGCTACGAACCAGAGCTATAAAGATGTTTTCTTTTGGATTGAAACTTGGTGGTCTGATCTGGTCTGATATGATTTATTCTGGTCTTGTCTGCTTCAGCCTGATCTGATCGGGTCTGAAATGGTTTGGTAAGCCTTTGGTCTCTGTGTATTTTATATGGGAAAGTTTCTGAAATAGAACTAAAACAGTTTGAAAATTCCAAAATAAGACTGACATGTTTTTTATTCCCAAACTAGGAATAATTAGTGCCACGTTTGAAAAATATTGTCATGTTTGAAGTCTGGTACTGCCAAAACATGACAGTAATTAGGCCTATTTTAGGAATAAAAACTGACAGTCCTATTTTGGAATTTTCAAACATTTTTAGTCCTATTTTGGGTAATATCTCATTTTATATCTGTTCAAGTCTTGTCAGGTCTGATCTGTTTAATTCTGGTGTGATCAGATCTGATCTGGTCTGGAACTGAAAACAGCCCAAAAGAAAGCATCTTAAGTGGTTCAATAACATATATCCAATATTTTATCTCGGGTGTAGCACCGTACCGCCGGTGGTAATTTCATAATTTATGGTGAAAATCGGTTTTTCTCTTAAACGAGCATTAATGCAATTTTGGTGAGTATCAAACTCATTTTTTATGCATCGTGATCTCTGCTTTATACCTTTTAATTTGCTTTCTTTTTCTTATTTTTTCTTTTATAAAAGATCTTAAATTATGTCTACAATCGAATCCAATTGATTTCAATATATAAAAATCTAATGTAGTATGATACTTTTGAAATACGCATTAATAAAACATTTTAAAATCAGCACAAAATAGGTAATTAACAAGTGAGCATACATAACGTACAAAATGATTATTGAAAAATTCAAAAGCTCAATTTGAGCATGTTCATTCATTTCAGACAATATACGCATCGGAGCTTGACATAAAACTCATTTTTAATGTGCTCAATATTCATTTGTGTATGTTCATTCATTTAGACATTATACACACCTGAGTTTATACCTTAAACTCATGTCTTTATCATGAAAGACGTAATAGATTTATTATAAAAAATTGTAGATGAATGCATTAGGTGAGAAATGAGCACCAAAGGGGTAATTAGGTTGTGAAGAATCGACAGGCCCACTAAGAAGGGGCAGCGACGGAAGGCTGGGGGCCAAGCGGCGTTGACGTTGTTGCATCGGCCAACCGGAAATCCAGAATACCAGCTTGGGTAGCTTCGCAACTTGGAGACTCGGGCACTTGACAGCTTGGCGTTTCGCATTCATGGTTCGTCCGACTTTCGACATGTAGTCCTTCAGCGTCTTTGTCGATGAGTTGGAGCACATATTTAATTACAAAAAGCACGGTTGTATGATGCTCACTGTAAAACCGGTGTACGTTATAATTTGTGTCTAGTGTTTGACAATTGATTGTTGACTAATTGTATTAGTTGATTAATGACATCAATTTCGGTTGGATGTTTTGATTATTTGATCGGTTGGTGTTTGGCGATGAGTTCTACAGTCAGTTGGATATTTATTATAAGCTTGCTAGCTCATGAGTTCAAATAGGAATTTTACGTTTAGCTCGAATTTGATCTCAAGTTCGAGTTCAAATCGGCTTCAGTTCTTTTGCTCAAGAAGTCGGCTCGAGTCAAATTTTGATAAAGCAACTCACGAACCATTCACGAGCGTTTTTTTTTTCATTTTTGCAAAAAAGAAAACAGTTGTCTTATGAGCACATGATGCTCGAAATAAAGTAACGGTCGAAATAACCAAACGAGTCAGTCCGTTAGTAAAATTTCCCAAATCTCTCTCCCTTTCTCTCTCTTAGTTTCCCAACTACCACCGTCACACAACTCTCCATCCAATCTCTCTCTACACGAACGCGTTCCGGACTGCCTCCCCAATCCCCTCTCTCTCTTTCTCTCTCTATCTCGTGAAATCGAACGGCCAGAATCCGCACAAGAACACCAACAAAAACAATCACCTTCCTCGCGAAAAATCCAATCGCTCTTCCCCTCATATACGCCAAGAACTGATATATATCTATATATATACCGATATTCGTTTCTTGTCGGAAATACTGTTGGCTAGGGTTAGGGTCCGGGTCCAGTATCGCGGCGGCGGTGATTGAGGAGAAGATGCCCGGCGGCAGGGAATACCTAGCATTTATTCGGCGCGTAGATTCCCACTTTTGAAATTATGGACAAGTCCTCCTTTTTCGAGGGAATTATGAAACCGCCCCTGCCCTTGGAACCTGCGATGGATTTCTACACGCAGGCTTGCAAGGCGCTGTGCAAGCGCTCCTCTTTTCATTCTGAGGACTCACAGACAGCTGCTGCGCCTCCTACACTGCCCAGAGGACTGGCTCAGCTGCTATCTAAGCACTCAGACAGCCGGAAGAGGAACAAGAAGACTCATGCCGGTTCTGAAACGAAGTTTTCTTCGCGGCAAGAAAAGTCTAGGGCCTCCGGGGTCTGGCCCGAAATGGAGGATTACTTTCGTGAATTAGATGTGGATGATATTGAAAGACTCCGTGAACTTTCTTCTGTACTACCTTCTAAGAGCGAGAAGTTCTTTTCATTACTCTCACTTTATGGAGCGGGTAATAATGTAGATACAGGTGTAGATATTCCGTGTGCATTTGCTTCAACTAGTGGGGCATCCAATGAAGAAGGGCACGCTCAAGAAGAAAATGAGCAGCAACAAATGAATGTTGATAGCATAGGAACTGCGGCATTGTCTACAGCAGCAATAAAGTTAGAGAAGGCCCGTCCTACTTTTAGCGGCATAGAGTGGCTTTTAGGTTCTAGGACAAAGATATATCTCACCACAGAGAGGCCTAACAAGAAAAGGAAGCTATTGGGTGGGGATGCTGGGTTAGAAAAGCTTCTTGTTGCCCATCCAGTGGAAGGGTCAGCTTCTCTGTGCCACTATTGCAGTGTTGGTGACATTGGTGATACTTTGAACCGGTTGATTGTTTGCAGTTCGTGTAGCATGGCAGTTCATCAGAGATGTTATGGGGTGCAGGATGATGTTGATGAATCTTGGATGTGCTCCTGGTGCAAGACAAAGAATCAAGTGGTAATTAGTGAGAAGCAATGCCTTCTGTGTCCAACGAAAGGCGGAGCACTAAAGCCTTCTAGAAAAAGGGGTCAGGGATGTCAAGAGCAGTCTGCGCTCAAGTTTGCTCACCTGTTTTGTTGTCAGTGGATGCCGGAGGTCTATGTCGAGAATACGAGGATGATGGAACCTGTAGTGAACATTGAAGGCATAAAAGAAACTCGAAGAAAGTTAATTTGTTATTTGTGTAAGGTGAAATATGGGGCTTGTGTGCGGTGTAGTAATGGTATGCTTTGCTACTTTTTTACTTCAAAACTTGCATATCTTTGTTGATTTTTTATTCAATTAATTGTCATTGTGTTAATCATTCAATGCGCTAGTCACCTGTATATCCTCTCTGCAATTCAAGCACCCATGTAATATATGGCTTTTATTGATGTTTTATCTTAGATCATATTGTTGCTTAGTGTTTTAAATCATTAAGTGGCTATATGGGAATTGTATTCGATCCAAATAACATTTGAATGAATTAGCATGTATACATTTGTTTGCTCGAATCATAAATATATCAGCCCATTTCCTCAGCTCAGAATTTCTGCCTTCTTTTTTTTGTACCAAAAATGGCTCGAATCAAAAGAGTTTCTGCCATCTTAATTTTCAGCCGAAAGGGTTTAGCAGTTCATTTTGAGAATTAATCTTACCAAAGGACTCGTTGGTTCTTCTTTCCAGTCGCGTTCCTTCTCTGTATTTATATCATCATTGTTGTCTGTATGGTTACTAGTAACCAGCCGTTTAGTTGCATCATATAAGTAAGTTGGAGGAAGGTTGTGTGCTTAATTCAACGGATACTGCCAGTTTATGATGACTGTGAGTGGATTCAGCGATTCACATCGGTGGTCTCTTGTGACATATTAGATGACGACAGTGCAATGAAACCCGTCTTTTCATGTAAAGCATTATGATGGCACACTATTTATGTCTAATTCCATCATAGCAACGCTCATCTCAACCTTTTACTGTTCATCTTAGTCACTATTAATAAATTCTTCAATTTAATCTATCTTTAGGCCTTATTAAAAGAGTAATGATCAAGGTCAAATGCCAAGTATGTTAGGTAATATCCTTTGTGGGCCTTGTGGCTAGTTGACTCTTGACTGGACTGCGACATTGTTACAAAACGAGCATGAACTGAAAAGCCTATCACATGTCACCCATAAAAACATTACAAGTATCATCTATTTTTATAATAATTAATCATCATTTATTTTCCGGCTTCCATCCCTTTCTCCATGTGATTATCGGGTGCATTAAGAGGCTCTTGTTCTTACTTTATCCCTAAACCTGTGACAGATCCTCAGACTTGTAAGATCATCCATGGTCAACTGCTTCTTGAGCTTGTAATTAATTCGACATAATAACATGTTTCAAATGAATATGCTCTATGGGCAACATATTTTGTCACATTGTATAGGTTTATAGTAAAAAGCTGTCAGATGTAAAAATTAATGATTAGTTTTTTGTTTTTCAATGGAAA